CACACACACACACACACACACACATAATATTGATTGTATCCCTCGCGGCAGTTGCGCTTAACCGCTGTTTGTTTCGGACGCTGTTTTTCTTGAGAGACATTTTCTGCAGGATTGAGGTTAAGGCTTTTTTAATGGTACTATGGCACAGTCTATGCTCTGTAGCTCGGAGCACCATCGTGCATTGACATTTTGCACCCTTGAATGCGCATATATATTTTCGATTTGTTCTGAAACAGTTCTAAGGGCCTGGCCATTCAAAGTCATTCAAAGCCTACCCAGGCTTTAAAAAAATATAATCCAGACACACAGAGAGTGAGAGAGAGAGAGAGAGAGAGAGAGAGAGAGAGAGAGAGAGAGAGAGAGAGAGAGAGAGAGAGAGAGAGAGATGATATGAAGATGATGATGCTTTGTTGCCTATAACTATAGGCATAAATTATATTAATAGGCTATGGGCTAATGGCTTAGATCTGTAGATCTATACAATCATTTCATGTTCACGAGTGCTAAAAGCACACCAATAGATCTAACAACGTTATACATGTAATATATTCTCTTTCAAATAGGGCTAATAGTGTTAACGGACACGATGCCATGGAACAAGACTGAACTTACGATATCTACAACAATTCAAAGCCATGGGCCTCTTTTATAAGCTGGCATGATGGGATGGGGGAGGGGTATTGGCAGGCATACAGGTCTCGAATAAAAGCTTTAAAAGAGCTATCGTACCTAAAACTAAAAGCTCTAAGATCAGAGAAGTACACACGGTGGTGTAATTCTTATCGGAAAATTATTTTTTAAAGAAAAAAAACATCTAACAATTACGAACAAATTCTAATCATTCTAATGGCTCATCAACATCACACGATCAGACACACGACAGTTGACTGATAGACACACGCACACCGCACTCCGCACAGCAGCATTAGGCTACTGTGGGGCTGTGTGGCTGTGGCAATGATAGTACATTATCTTTGGCTGTGGGGGAAAAAAAACAAAACAAACAAACAAAAAAAGTATGCCGGTTGGTCGTTTAAGAACGACGGTTTTTTTGTATACAAACTCTTGGTTTAATGTCAATGGCCTTCATGCTATTCTTCAAAGATTTTGTTTCTGTTAACCGGCTTTTACTCATCAATTCAGCTTTAAAAATTATGTTCTAGTTCAATGGGAACTTAATATCGTCTTATTGGCATAAACACAGACTAAAATCCGACAATTTACGCTCAAGTTTATCTAAGGCAATGATAGTACATAACAAGATGGTTCACTCAGCCAAAAAAGTGTCCGCAGGAAGTATGCTCTTTGCTTCAGATGGCGCTGCGGTCTGTTTTGAAGCTCTCTTTCGTTTTTCCAGAAGAAGAATAGGAATAGCACCTCCTTGCGTGCGCAGATCGACTGCTGTTCATCAGCAGTTCGGGTACGTTCAGTGCGTAGTTTTAGGTGTTTTTTTAAATTTTAATGACCTCTCGCCTTTCATTCTAAAGTCAAATTAAACGAAGAAAACCATCACCCTTTCCTCCGGAAAAGGTTTTTTGTCAGCGTAACCATTTTAAAAAAGCGTTCTTCCGAAATTTATCCCAAAACATGCTAGTTTCACTTTGATTTTTAAAAACTCAAGTAGGGTAACTCTGTTCGCAAAGTGCGCTTTTGTGAAGAGGGCGCCACCAAATTTTGAGGACACTTTTTTAATTGGCTCAAAGAGAGAAGTGGCCCATCTTGTTATGTACTATCATTGTCTAAGGTCAACCCAACGATACTCTAGGATTTGCCCTCCTTTTGCGATATCTCGATACTCAAGAACGATCTTAGTATAGACTACCTCATGATGTTACCACAACAATTCGTCAGTGTCCGCGACGCCGCGACTGTTTCGCGTTTCAGTGTGTGTGTGTGTGTGTGTGTGTGTGTGTGTGTTTGTGTGTGTGTGTGTGTGTGTGTGTGTGTTTGTGTGTGTGTGTGTGTGTGTGTGTGTGTGTGTGTGTGTGTATCAATAGTCCTAAGTAAATCTCAGACGCTTTATTATCATTTTTATCATTTGTTGGCTTCGTTTGATTCTGTATCTTTGGCTTTGGTTGTTTTTTTCCTTATTCTCTCGGCCTACCTAAACCCAGTTTTGGTCCTCGATCTTTAACTTATATATACCTAATCTATCAATATATTTATTTCTCTTAAGGAATAAATAATAAGTTGTACACAGAAGCCTTTGATACAGAAACCTATGGAATAAATAAAGTATCGCCAAAGCGTGAAAAAAAAATTGAAATCGTAGTCGGAATTTTTTCCAGATCGGATGAGTTAATACTTGCCTAAAATAAACTACGAGAATATATAATATTTACGAATACAGTCTTACACGGTCGATTATTGTGTGTAAGTAATGTCCGTGTTCAGCTTGACTATGTGATTGTCCAGTGATAGCCTTGAGCGATGTAGAATCTTGATCTAGAACTAGTGATAGTGAGTGCAACTGCTGTGGTTCTGAGGCTGAAGATTTGTCATTTGTTTTGTTAAAGTTAAAATAGGCTAATCATCGCATAGAAAGGAAAGATGTAGTTCAAATACTCTCATACTCGACCTCCTGGCACATTTCTTTCTGTGTGTAATAATGATGCTTAATTCTGCAAAGCGAGCCATCAGTTCTTCCTCTGTCAAACACCTGCGCCGATCAAATTTGTTGAGACAAGATTCACGGGAGAATGATCTGCCTGTGGGTCTTCAGTCAATCCCAGGGCATGGGAGGTGCCACTCATTCATGCAATTGTTTCATAAACTTAGACTGGCACAAGGACCCGACCCTGTGGAGTCACCACGACTGACACCACAGATGGTCACTTCAATTCTTCGAATGAATGAACAGAGTTCACAGGGAACAACTCGCGGCATTGTGAGGGAAATTCAGTGCAATCAATTGCAGGTGAGGAAATTTATGTTTTGGTCATTCTGTTTATGATGGCTGTTACTGTTATTTTGGAGGTGGGCTGTGTAAACCTGCTTGTCAGGTCGGGGACCTAGCTGGTTCAAGAGGGATTACAACGTTCCAGGTGTATAAAGACTTAATTAAGATTTCACCCACACAGGAACCAACTATTTTCTGCTTCAACAAATACAACCCACCTTTATCATCTTTCACTTTATGAGTGTTCAAGTTAATAATCTCCCTCCTAATTTCTATGACCAGCCTTGATTTGATCCTCATACTCTTATTTATGCCATGATCTCTTGTCAGTGACCAGGTCTTCAAGGACATGTTGATTTGGGCAGCACAAGCAGAAGAGAAGAGAAAATCTTACAATGCTGAGACAGATGGAAAGAAATGAAAAAAGAAGAAAATTAGGAAATTGAAAGGATGAGTGACAAAAGTCAAAGGCCACCTCTATTCTCACCTGTGAGAATAGCGCAGTTGTAGGCCTCTCACCCTGGGTGAGAAGACAAATCTTCTGATCTTCTGGCTATTCTCACCAGGTGTGTGCTTTCAATGCATCAGCTCAGGCCGATCACTCTGGGTTAGAGGACGAGCTCTTTATAAATTTTGGCTATTCTCGCCGATTGAGTCTTTACACAAGCAATTTCGTGCACAGAAATTCAAATTTTGATATACTAGGCAGGCAATATGCATGCAACTGAGCAATTGTGTGTACAGTCAAACCTGTGTAAAACGGGCCACCCATTGTCAAGGGGAAAAGTGGCCGTATATATATATATATTTAAAACACCTAGATGGCCGTCTTAGGCAGAACTGGTCAAAATGAGTAAAGCAAATTTTATCTCTTCCATGGTCCAAACCGGGTTTGTTCTCAGACCTTAGACTGCCCTAGTAGAAGGGCTTTAAATCAAAAGGATTTTAAAAAACTATTTTCTTTTGAAAAAGGGGGTTGGGTGGTGTACAAGGAGTTTTTTTGGTGTTATTTTGACAGGGGGGGGGTTTTGGTGGGGGGTTGTAAGCTTTATTTTTGTTGATTTTGTGCAGAGGTAAAATAAACTAAATATAAGTAAGACGATGAAGACCGAGTACCATGGTAAAACGAACACACAAATCGCCACCACCAGGAAAACAAGGGATACTTCTGTTGCAAGTTCATGCCAACGTCCATTGTTACTTTGTTACCGATTAGGTAAGCGAAATACACGACCAGTTACCTCACTCACGATTTGTGCATGAGTTGTGGGTGGGGCTTTATTAAATAAAAGTTATGAAGGATCATTCATGCTTCCCCCACCATCTGTTGAAAATGTATTGTTAGAAAAGCCTGCACATTGGTCAACTTGGGTAAACATTCACTGGAGGGACTAGCAATTAATAACAAAGGTGAAAGTATTATGACGGCCCGTCCACAGCGTGAGGGGCCGATTCAAAATTTATGACAAAGCATCGGGCCTGGCCGCCTTAGGCAGGTAAATCGGACAGTTTGTTGAAAAAAAAAGTAATAAAAGAAGATTGAAAAATAGACTGAGAGGAGTGCAAATGAAATTGGAGAAAATGCAGGAGGGTTGAGAGGGGGGGGGGGTTATTTTTAATGAAAGGGGAGTGGGATGGCGGATTTCCTCTCTCTTGTTTGATTTTATCAGACCTACCCAGAAGGAAAACTAGGTGGACATAATATTTCATTGTTCTCTGTTTCCAATGCACGTAAAGGCTTTATATACAGTATTTATAACAGGGATTGTCGAACACAGAGGCTGGGAATCACGCATCCGTCGAACTGTGCCTGTGGTCCGTTATTGTTTTTTTTTCCCTTCTGTTTGTCTACATATTACTGTTTACCAACATCTATATTCACTTTAAAAATATGCTAAATAATGCATGCTTGTTTTCTGCTGGTTTGACTTTGTCTTCTACATATTTACATCTCTCTCGTATTTGTGTCTATCTAGGCAAACAAACCCATTGAAGATCGGCATGTGGAGGCGAAGTTGGCAGGCACTGACAAGTATTTGTTTGGTGTGTTTGATGGACATGCTGGCTGTGCATGTGCCCAGGCCCTCAAGGACAGACTGTTTCAGTATATTGCGGTGTCAATGTCTGACCCATCTCGTCTAAACCAGCTGTATCAGGAAGAGATGGGTGCCACAGCCCAGCTGTTGGAGTACCTGCCTACAGCTAGCGTGGATCCTGTCAGCCCAGACCTGGCCACCATCCACTGGCAGAGTTTGCACAACTTCATCAATGATTGCCTGGACATGTACAGTCTGGATAGCACGGTCAGGGCTCTTGATTAATTTGATTTTACTGGCTAATTGTAGGCTCCTTTGCCTTTATTAACTGTAGTAAGAGTGAGCTGCTGAATTAAGGGATAAATGGTCTTCCTTTTACAACTCTATATTTCTGTTTATGTGATTTGATGTACAAAGCAATCGAATTTAAACTGGCATTCAGTTTAAATGTAAAGCTTCTTTATGAGCAATAATCTTGGTATAGTTTCCATTTTGGGGGGGGGGGGGGGGGTGAGAGGGGGGATGTGTTTTTGTTTTCTTTGAAACGACTGTACTTTATCCTAGATCGTACTCACTAAAGTAAGTAATGACTTTCCTAAGCTTTTTGGTGCTGATCCTGTCTGCGATGTGATTGTATGTCACTAACCTGGCTTGTTTTGGTATCTGTTTTATCTGTTGCTTTCAGAGATGACTGTATTCAGTTGTACAGTGGACCTCGGGTACAGTGAGCTCTAATTCAATGAAACCCCAGCTTCAAAAAGAAACAAAAATCCCTGTTCTTTTTTTTTTTTTTTTTAACTTTATAAGAACGCCTTACATCAAACGAGGTTAGAAAATTCCAGCCTCAGCCGGTATCGAATTTGGATCAAATGAGGTCTGAAGACGCCAACCCTGGCCGTAACCAGATAATAACTTAATCAAAGTCTCCCAGTGGAGCCAAGTATTTCATTGAGCAAAGACAGGTCCGCATAACTAGCCATTTGGCATTCATTTTACTCCTCATCAATAGAGTGGGCATACTTGGGGTAGTCTAGCTAGTCATGCAGTGTGGGTTTGTTTTCTGACACATGATATACTGAAAAGATGACCTACACAAGGCAGACCTACACAAGGCACACCCACTCCGTCCCTTCCACTGGTGTACAGTGTTCCAATGGATGGTGGGAAATCAACGATACACATTGTTTTTTAACATAACTGTAAACATATGATTCGATAGACCCTAGGCAACACTAGGGAAATAAGTACTGCAATGTTGTGTTAACGAGAGTAGTGGTTTGTCTCTCAGTCTTACACAGCCCCTATGTATGGTACTCATCTCAATATCTGACAACCTCGATGTCATCCACAAAACGGAAATGTTTGTCATTTGAAACCAAACTAGAGATTTTATTGAAGTTGTATGGTACATTGCCACAGAAGTACATATATACGGCAGCTGTATCATTCATTACGTGTTGTATTTTTTTGGAATGTGGTACATGATGTACTTTCAGTCATGCGTTAACTTTAAAAAACCCTCTACACTGTCATGTTCTCAGATAGTCATTACGTGCATTTTAAAATAATCTATAGTGTTTTTTAAGATTGTAAAAATTCAATTGAATAGAGCATAAACAGGGGCTCTCGTGGCCTAGAGGTTAAGGTGTTGGCCTCTCATTCAAAGGTCCAGGGTTCGAATCTGGGTAGCGACCGAAAAATTTTCTTCTCTAAAATTGTCTCCTTTCACCTCCTTTCCTGCTCTCTAGCAATGTTCTGTTGTCTGCTTTCAATTCCACTTTCTGCCCCCACCCCCTCACCTCCTTTGCCCCCTCCTCTGGGCTCCTGACTCTTTCTGCAGCCTTTCTACTGCTGCTCCTTGGCTCCTCCTTACTGCTGTCTTTCTGCCACACCCCTGATCTTCTGGTAGGAAAGATCTACACCTAGCCTTCTCGGACAAGGGCGAAAAATCTCGGAGGGCCCGTGTGCAAGTTGCGCACGCTAAAGATCCCTTGGTGGTCTAAAATCGATAAGAATAGGCTTCGGCCGCTACCCGGGCAAAATTCAAAATTTCCTACCAACTGAAAATATTAGGTGTGTCCCACACGCTCATATGACCTATGCAGTTGCGAGCGCCGTAAAACACTGTACAAAAACAAAAACAAAAGAGCATAAACTCATAATATGGGGAGGCTCTTCCATAAGTTTGACAGAAAATCCTTTTTAATTCTGTGAGGGGAGGGGGGTCATATGACATAGTGCATCTCATCCTTTTCTGCTTTGTCTAGAATGTGTATTTTTTATCTTCTCCGTATAGGTGGAAGAGAGCCTGGTAAATGCATTTCTTCGTCTTGACCAAGACATTTCACTTGAGGCAAGTTTTCACCCAGGTGATATGGGACTGTCTGCAGATCTGGTCAACATTGCGTTCTCAGGAGCTGTTGGTTGTGTGGCTTACATTGATGGGCTTGACCTGTATGTTGCTAATGTGGGAGACAGCCAGGCTGTTATTGGAAGTCATTCAACAGAATCAGAGACGTGGCATGCCACCCCAGTCAGCCTCAAACATGACGCTGAGAACACGGGCGAGGTGAAGCGACTGTTTGCAAAACATCCAAATGAATCCCACAATATCCTCAAAGGAGGTAGACTTTTTGGCGAGCTGATGCCGCTTAGAGCTTTTGGCGATGTTCGCTACAAGTGGGGCAAGAAAGATCTCATTCATCTGAAGAATCTGGCGGGGCAGAGTTCTGGACCGTTCTTGCCCAGTTATAAAAACATTACTATCCCTAACAACTACAGAACTCCTCCGTACCTTGATGCAGAACCAGAGGTGATCCACTACCGTCTGTCTCCGAAAGACCGATTCCTCATCTTGGCGTCGGACGGTCTGTGGGACTCTGACGGCCTGTCCGTGGAGAAAGTAGTTTCTCTTGTTGGCCACCACACAGAGGGTCAGCAGGTGCTAACACATTTCAGGCCCGCAGAGGCTACACCACTGGGTGCCATTAACGAATCGCTGCGCAAACGTAAGCAGAATCTGGCAAAGCGTGCTCTGGACGATAATGTAGCTACTCACTTGATGCGACATGCATTGGGTCTGGAGCACGGACAGTTGTCTGCTCAGCTTACGTTGCCACAGAAACTTGTGCGCTACTATCGTGATGACATTACCATCACTGTGGTGTATTTCGACTCTGACTACATCATGGACTATACACGACAGCATTGAGGTCTTTGTTGATATCTGTGAATACCTGTTAACCTAGCAAGTTTTCTATTTATTTTTATGGCTCTGGCCTTAGAGTTTTTCAGTACCAGCTGAGTGAGGAGCTGAAATCATCAATGGTCACTTTCGATCTAAAAAAATATAGAATAACAAAAGTCCCGGTACAAAAACTGCAATATTCCTTACCATTATTATCAGGATTTAAGTTTGATGTCAGTTGTGTTCTTACTTTTAAAATCCAGACTTACACTGTCACCGCTCTTGGTTACTTTTGCTAGGCAAGGCAGCTGATCTCTGGCTGTCACTTTTTGTTGGTCTTTTTTTTCTGTTTCTTTCCTCAGGCATTATGGTGTCAACCTCTTTCTTTGGCTTTCTTTTTATCTATCTGCACATCTTCTCTGCTGTATTGTTCCGAGTCTTCTTGTGATAGATTGATTTTGTACCAATGTGTGTAGGCCCCCTACTCATTTCGTTGTTCCTATGTTGGAAAAGCCTGCTGGCCTTTGGTGAAGGTTGTGATATCGTGAGCGAGTTATTATCTCAAGGAAAAACGTCTTGCACATTGTGTGACATGTTTCACTGTAAATGTTGCAAAAGGCTCCTGCTGCTAATTTTCTCCTGTTACCTTTGTTGTTTACATTCAGTGCTTTGTAGGTATTAATTTTAATTTATCTGTGCTTTTGATATATATTTAAAATAGTAAGATTCTTCAATGACAAAAGGCTCATATTTATAAGCTTTTATTCCACTTTATAAAGTGTGAATGTGAAACAGAATGTTAAGTTCATAAAGCATCATATTTGAGAGAACGTTCTTCTCCAGGTGTACCTCAAAGTTGATGAAGCTTCCCAACAGGCAACCGGTTAGAGTAATAATAAAGAAAAGATATGTGAGGCCACGTGGTGAAATCAGGTGCTCGTCAAAATATAGAAATCGGAGAAACAGGCATTTTTCCTCCTGTTTGGAAATTTTAATTGATTTTTTTGTTTTTGGCTCATCCTCTTTTGTGTGTCCTTACATAAAAACACATTTCCATGTTACTTTTACTGAAAAACTTTGATTAAAGACACTCTGTTTTCAAGGACTCTTTAGCAATTGGGATTATAAAACTTTGGCAGCGATTTTCCCACTAATTTCACCACTGAAACCTGGCGACCTCACTTCCTTCCATTGCAGATATCTTGAGTTCTATTCAAGATACACGGATATAATATATTTCATTGAAAGAAAGGCTAGTAAATCAACTTGCAGATGATACCAATAACTCCACATTCCCAAAAATTGACGAGCACCTGATTCCACTGCGCCGTGACACATATATATATGAATATATTTTGTATATTTGTATGTTTTCCCAAGGACGCAATGCCCGATTGAGCTCTGTGAAATTAGATAGGAATACGCACATCGACATTTTGTTCTTGTGGAGGATTAGTGACAAAGTTTGTCAGTGTTCCTTGTTTGCAGTGCTTTTGAACATTCAAACTATATGCAGATTTATTCTCTTTGTTTTTTTGGTGAATAATGCAGCAGCCCCACTTCATTGATTCCATTCATTAATTAGAAGCAGCTCTTGGTGATCCTGTTATTATGCATGTTTTGAGTAACTCTGTGTAGAAAATGTTTGGCTTTGTTGTTCACTGACCACTGGTCACTTGTCTCAGGTTTCTCTCTATAATAATAAATAGTTTGGAGACTGTCTTCTGCTTGTTTATTTTTGGCAATATTTTGTACTAAAAGGTGGAACGTGGTTTGAGTCGTAAAGACAAATTCATATATATCAAATTATTCAGATTTATTTGAGTTTAACTGTCTCAATCCAGAATTTTAGACTAAATCTTTTGTGTATAAGAAAACCTCTTTGGACTTGAGATTTACTGTATGTCACGCCTATAGGATGCAAAATTTTGCCTAAACATCAGGGCTTCTAAATCACCTTGCATCTTATCCTTGAGATAAGAAATTAGACACAAAAAATCCCTGTGTTAAATATTTTGTTTATTTATGCCCTACATCTGAGACTGTTGGTGAATTGCAGGTTTTGTTTTTTAAAATTTGATTTGGTTTGTTTTGAAGTGTGTTTTTCAATTAAAGATGATGGTGCTTGCCATGAAGAAGTTGGTGCATTTTACTCGATGAACATGATTTGTACCAAAATTTTGGCTCTCAAGTCTATGCACCGTACATGTTTTAGCATTCTCGGGGAAAGGAGTCGGATTGTTTTTTGTTTTTTTTGGATAATTAATTGATCTTGGTTCAATAGGGGTTTTTAATTCACACAAACAACCCCCCCCCCCCCCCCCAAAAAAATTTTTTTTTTTTTTTTAAATAAAAAAATCAACAACAAAAAACTACAAAAATACAAAAAAACAACATAAGTCGTTTCTGCACCTTGGATGTCATTTCGTTCAGAATATATCTTAAATTGAGTCCTTATTTTCGGATGAGTGGAATTAACTTCTGAGTACCGGAATTTGATCAAAAGCTTGCATGGAGACTGTACTTAATGGCTTCCATAGTAAAGGGTAATTAACCTTGTGGGCTGGAGTCAGAATTTCTCTTTTTAAAACCAGTATTTATGAATGTTGTAGAGATACTGGTGATACTTCAAATCCTGGTATTGCTGTGAATGGACCTTGCAATACAGCTTGGGTTAAAGTTAAAGATTTTGAGTTTGTCCTATATCAAGTCAAGTGAAGGGAAGCAAAGTTTTGTATATTGAGATACAATTGACTTATATCTGATATCGAATTCACTACAGAACACTCCTGCAGCTGCATTATGAACCAAGAAATGAACAGATGGGTTCTTCAAGTCGCCAGTAACGTTTCTTTTTTTTTTTAAATTTGAATAGATAATTTGCTGCCCTTCCCTCAAAATGATGGATTTTAAAAGTTTGTGTGAGAGCAGTAATTCCCAGAGAACGTCTATGTGCAGCTCCTGCACAATGTATTTATTGGTTTATCTTTGTTAGCTGGGTTGTTGCCACAATGACTCGTTTTGCTTGCTCAATCTTGGCTGATCAAATCAAATAGCTCAAAACTTTTTTAACGGTTTCTTGCCAGGGAACTGGTTGTTTTTATGCTCACAGTCTCAGTGAACGAATAGCTTGCATTTTGTTGGTATCAAAAGCACACCAGTGTACATTCAGGTTGCACTGTTGCCCATTAAAACTATTTTTAGTGATGTTTTCGTCTTTCAATGGCTACTGAATGATATTTATGGAATATTGAGTATGACATACCAGAAGAAAAAAAATTGTTCCAATTTGTTCCTGCTTCATATATTTTATTATTCTGGATTAGCTGATATAAAGCAGTCATTTACATTTTCAGTGCCTCAATTCTCAGCTGATTGTGTTTTCTATATTTGTCTTTGTTTCAATTTGAAAGTGAGGATGCCATTTCATTATATTTGAATTATTAAGCTGGGTCTCTCTTTAGCACTGGTCTGAATTTCAAATTCAATTATTCGGCGAGTGGTTGACAAAAAGTTGTTGGGTTTTTTTTTTTCGTGAATCGGAGTCAATTCAGGTTAGTCATTGGGATAAGGGAATATTCTGGCATATTTGCTTTCTTCCGTTGCACTTCAGGCAATAACATCAAAATTTATAAGGCACATCTTTTACTGAGCGTGCATAGATCTATAAAACTGTCGGTATCAGTATAACTATTATGACCCCTCTTTTTGAATAGTTTAGATGAGAGGAAAAACTGGTTGCATATAATTCAAGAGCACTGGTACTGTAAATAGCGTGAGCAGCAGAATTTATCATACACATTTGGGACTTTTTTTTGTCTTGAGTTTTAACGCTAATTCTAATTGTAAAAGTAAAAGGTTTAACATCAATACGTCTCTACACTCCACACCTTGTGATCTGTGTCGCACTAGGCTACAATGGCTGTTTGGTTGCCGTGGTAACATGTGACTTGGAGAGAGGGAACAGTGCCAGTAGCCTAAATCTGTTTGTCACAGAACGGTGTCAAGTATTAAGCTTCTTCTTCTTCCTCGTTCTCAATGACAGCAGCTAGACAGTCAGTCCGATGTCGCCCACAAACTGTGCAGTTCGCTTCAACTCTGAGAGACTGCCATAGAGCTTTCTCTCAAGGGGAGCCACATTCTGCCACGTCTGTGTACGAAGGAAGTATTAAGCAAATGTATAAATATATTTTGTCGTTGGCAGAAGAGCTGTCAAATGTCAGTGGATGTATTTTTGTGTTGAGCCTTGATAAATACCTCGATTGCCTTATTGGCTATCTCTGAGATTGGTGATTAACATGGACTGGCCTCTGGCCATACCACCGAAGAATACACATATTTCACTTTCTTGTTTTCATACTTTGTGGAAGAATAAAAGAGATTCAGTAGTTCTACACACTAGAATTAGAACTAGAACCAAAAGACTGAGGAAGGATGTAATGTTAGTGCATACACTCATAAAATCCAAGTTGCCATCATAATCAATAGCAGATCCAAGTATCCCGTGTGTATACGTATTTATAGTATTTTTTGTGAAGGTTTTGATCACATAAATTTCTCTCAACAACATGATCATTTGGCAATAAGTGCTTTGAAAATTAGAGTTAAAAAATACCTTTATCCAAATCCCTGTTGTGCTTTTTTTGTAGTGATTTGTTTGTTTGGTTGTTGTTGTGTTGTTTTTTTGGGGGGGGGGTGTTGGTTGGGTTTTTTTGGTAGAGGCTCTGTGAAAAAGGAATGATTTGTATAACTTAATGAATGGCTTGCACACCCATGCTGCAATTTTTTTTATGGCTGCATTAATAAAGCTGTGCCGCTAATTGTGACAATACTTTCATATCCTGAAGTGTCTTGATTAGGTCTATCTAGGCTGCACTTTTTATTTTTGTCTGTCACTGTGGTGCTTTAATTGCTATCACGCATTGGAAGACCTAAATCCAGTTCTTGAGTGGGGAAAAATTTTGTCAAGTATCTTGATCTTCCTACTGGGATGCTGTATCCTTCTTAGCTCAGGTTGGGTCTGCTGACTGACAGTTTCAGAAGCCCACGTAAAAGTGATTTAAATTGTGTTGATGGGGGTGTGAAAACACATTTTTTAAAAAGATTTTAACGAATCTATGTACATGCCCTCATAAATGCTACTTCCTTTTAAATATGAATGCCTTTATGTAATGTACGATGAATTTGTTTCCATAATTCATTCTCTCTCTGGAGGTGTCATCTCTGACTCAAGGGTTGACATGTAATGACCCTCCATCTTTCACGGTCACAAGCTGCCGTTGCACATTCCTTGATTGAATACTCGGAGGACTGCATATGCATTAGTTGTAGAATAGTCTGTATAATTATATTTCAGTTCGTCATATCATAATCATATTAATTATGCCCAAAGTGGTCTTGCATCTTATCACTCAGTGACATAAAAAATTTGACCCAAAAACCCCAATGGCTGCTTGTTGTTGCACTGTAGATATAGACTGTTAGTAAAAAAAAACTGATTTTTGTTTTGTTTTGTTTTGCAGTGTGGTTATTAATGAAAAATTCACTATGACTAACAAAGCTTGCCCGATGAACACAGTAAATAGTAGATCTATGATTTATACTAAAATTCTGGCTCGCAAGTCTACCTGCGTCTTATCCAACATGCATTCTATATTATGTAATGATATGGTATCTTTACTTGATGACTGTAATAATTTTGGCTTAGGTGGGAAGAAGGATCACTTTATAAAGAGAAATAAAATCAATAAGTTTATGAAATGTGCAATATATAGGCCTATGTTCTACGTTTTGCTGGAACTATGGCTTGGAATACTCAACCTTTTTTTTTTGTGGGAAGTACACAATGAAGAATTGGCTTTACACCAGTGTGCATTGGTTTCATAGGTTAGATATCTAGATCTCT